TTACACTACCAACCAAGCAACGCAGTTTAGCACTACCTTTATTGAAACGTTGTTTTCCTGCTACATGATATATATATATATATATATATATATATATGACTCAGTCCTCGTTTTCAGCACAACGACAGTGAATTGCAACTGAAGATCTCTTATGGATACTTTGGGCGTTCAAAGTTACATCTATACGCATTCACTCAGAAAGGAGCAGTAATTCCGTCGACATTTTTTCCGAAACTTCACTGGCTGCTGGTTAATGTTGAATTGAATGTAATACAAGGCCTCATGCTATAAAAATATATAACCGTTCAGTTGTAACACCCTCGCTGTGCCAAGCTGCCATGCCAACCGAAGGAAGCACGAGGGCTGAGATACTGTCAGGTTGCCCAAACCCAGACAGGAGCAGTTGGGATGCAGAAGTTGGGTTTTAAACCACGGACCTTCCGGTCAGTAAATTTGCGCATTAACCAATGAGCTGTTCCGAGCCCATAAACTCCAACAGCTAAAAAAGAAAAACAATGCTGTGTTCACAACAACCGGGAGCGGACTTGACACAACGGCTGCACTCACGTGAAATTCGTCTGAGTAGAGTGGACGACCCTTCATCGTGAACCACTCCAGCGAGCAATGGTACTTTGGCGAAACGACCCAATCTGCGCTCATCCAGGGGTGTACGTGGGAGAAAACCGGCTGTGCCATCGACTACGGGTGTCCAAATGTACGGAGTAGCACCACGAAGTGGGCGAAGGAGCCTAGAATACAGTATTGGAACAACGCATACTTAGAGTTCAAAGCCGTAGGTGAAAGGCTGTTACAAATCTTGGGTAGCACGGGTGCACTGATGTTTAAAACGGTATAGTTAGCAGTTACAGTGGTGGTAGTGGTATTTAGAAACAGAGATACGAGGAAGACATAACAATTGTAATACTGTATTCAGACCAACCTATCCTTGAATTTACCCTCCTGTAGGGCGGTTTAACCCAACAGTTACGATCGGTATCAAGCAGGGCAAGCGACGTTGAAAAGGTCCGCATTCTTACCAGACTCAACGGTTACTGCGCTTTTTAGTCGACTAGCACTACGCACTGAGAAGTGTATCCACCTGAAAATTCCGCACTGATTACTAATTTGGGCCACCTCTGATAATGCAGAGGCCGCTGCAGCTGGATATGCTGGGGTGGGTATTGTATTGAGCGAACAAGCGGAAGCGTCTCTGCTTGATTGGATACCCGTAAACAGTCGCCTCTGCGCGGTTCGTTTGGCAACATCTGTGAGAGAATCTAGAGAAAGTGAGATTCATCGCACCCTGTTTATTGTGTCTGCATACGCCCCAACTGACTGTAGCTCTGAATCTGCCAAGGACAGTTTTTATGACGACGAAGCTCTAGGTGCCCTTTTACAACAGGCTAAAAGCTCAGATATCGTTGTGGTTGTTGGTGATATGAACGCCCAGGTAGGTAGACTAGGAGCGGCTGAGGCCCGATTGGGTGGTCGTGTTGGTTTGGACACTAGACGCACGGACAACGGAAACCGCCTACTTCAGATGTGTGCCGATCACAGACTGTTCCTTTGCAGTACGAATTTCCNTGATGATGATGACCTCACTCAAGCTATGCATCGGCTCAACTCAAAAATGGTCAGCTCTCGCTCGAGGTACAGTCATATGTAGTCGTGTTTAACCAGTCTGTTTTATTTCAATTTCCAAGCGGATATAGTACACCTGAGCATACCGTACAGAAGACCATACTGAGAGAGTCCACCAACCCCTAAGTACGAGAACACATGGTGCTCTGGATTAGGAATCGCATAGCCCACCGACAACCCTTCATGAATGTCGACCACCACAGTCGGACTGGCACGTATCCTTGACCACAGGTTGATTCAGAACCTCACTAAATGAAACTGGTATTCGGTGGCTTCGCTTTAGTTGCCGTTCTTTATTGACCACCCTCAACTTTATCATCACGTAGAGAATATCAGCAACCATAAAAAGGCAAACGAACTGTTGACATAGTGATCAATCATCACAGCCTTGCAGCCGAAAACAATCAACTCGTAGTCATACACAGTCGGGGTTCGTAACTGGATGAAGCCACACTAAACTGTTTACTGGTATTTTTCAGAGGTTGTATTTATCTTAAAGAGTGAGCCTACTTGATGGCCACCGATCTAAGACAGAATCAGCTTGTGAGAAAGCATGGCTAAGCAAGATTTGCCCTCGATAAGCTTCTAAAGATGTAACGTGGGTGGAATCATGATAATTAATAGGTTGACACAATCGAGCGGAATTCACGGATGCGCACACAATCTACCAAAGTGAATTAAAAAAGTAGCACGCGAAGAGTCCTGACTTTATTCATTTTTGGCGAGCATGTAACGTGCAAATTAATTACCGCCGGTTGCGCGCCGTGTCCTGCGTGGGTAGTCGACCACACGCAAGGAGAACCACGTGGAACCCGCCTAGAAAGGTGTGAAGATCCCACGGCTCTCTACTTGACAGTAGTCGCTTTTATTTCGCGTAGACAGGTGGTGAACTGTTCACAGATAAACATTAGGTAGAAGCCACAGAGCCACTGCTTTGCACGGAGAGCTCAGCTGTCAAGCTCATTACGTAGCATAACGAATTTTAACAGATTAACCATCAGAGCTAAACTTAGCTTCTGAAAATCCCAACTCGCCATAGCTAAACAGAAAGCCATTATCACACTAATCAGTGTCTGCACTTTTATATTGCAGACAGTGGTGCCTAATAGAGAGCAGATGAGCGAACACTGCCGTTTGGGGGAAGACAAACCTTATGGTTGTACGGCAGTGAAGCATCAGTGCCAACACTGACGTTGCTGTCTTTGATGATGATGACCTCGCTCAAGCTATGCATCGGCTCAACTCAAAAATGGTCAGCTCTCGCTCGAGGTACAGTCATATGTAGTCGTGTTTAACCAGTCTGTTTTATTTCAATTTCCGAGCGGATATAGTACACCTGAGCATACCGTACAGAAGACCATACTGAGAGAGTCCATCAACTCCTAAGTACGAGAACACATGGTGCTCTGGATTAGGAATCACACAGCCCACCGACAACCCTTCATGAATGTCGACCACCACAGGCGGACTGGAACGTATCCTTGACCACAGGTTGATTCGGAACCTCACTAAATGAAGCTGGTATTCGGTGGCTTCGCTTTAGTTGCCGTTCTTTATTGACCACCCTCAACTTTATCATCACGTAGAGAATATCAGCAACCATAAAAAGGCAAACGAACTGTTGACATAGTGATCAATCATCACAGCCTTGCAGCCGAAAACAATCAACTCGTAGTCATACACAGTCGGGGTTCGTAACTGGATGAAGCCACACTAAACTGTTTACTGGTATTTTTCAGAGGTTGTATTTATCTTAAAGAGTGAGCCTACTTGATGACCACCGATCTAAGACAGAATCAGCTTGTGAGAAAGCATGGCTAAGCAAGATTTGCCCTCGATAAGCTTCTAAAGATGTAACGTGGGTGGAATCATGATAATTAATAGGTTGACACAATCGAGCGGAATTCACGGATGCGCACACAATCTACCAAAGTGAATTAAAAAAGTAGCACGCGAAGAGTCCTGACTTTATTCATTTTTGGCGAGCATGTAACGTGCAAATTAATTACCGCCGGTTGCGCGCCGTGTCCTGCGTGGGTAGTCGACCACACGCAAGGAGAACCACGTGGAACCCGCCTAGAAAGGTGTGAAGATCCCACGGCTCTCTACTTGACAGTAGTCGCTTTTATTTCGCGTAGACAGGTGGTGAACTGTTCACAGATAAACATTAGGTAGAAGCCAAAGAGGCACTGCTTTGCACGGAGAGCTCAGCTGTCAAGCTCATTACGTAGCATAACGAATTTTAACAGATTAACCATCAGAGCTAAACTTAGCTTCTGAAAATCCCAACTCGCCATAGCTAAACAGAAAGCCATTATCACACTAATCAGTGTCTGCACTTTTATAGTGGTGCCTAATAGAGAGCAGATGAACGAACACTGCCGTTTGGGGGAGGGTTAGAATTTTACCCATTTATTTGAAGGTCCGATTCAAACTTCAACGTTTCTTTTTAAATTGAAGGTTTTTTGCTTTACAGTTTTAACTCAAAGTTCACGGGACCGCAAGAAAGTGGTTTCTTCAAGGACAGAAAAACTGGGAGACCGATAAAATGGGCATGCGAACTCAAACAGCCAAAACCTCTTAGCTAACCAACCTGATACCTAAACAAACTTTGACATGCGTTAGGAGACAGGACATCCAGGAGTATGCCGACAGGTTGGGGGGAGGGGGTCAAAGAAACCGACGCCTGACCGACCTTGGTGAAAGCCTTACTGCCCGTTTCTGTGTACGAACAGCTAAGATTAAAGACCCCGAAGAAGTGGGTTCATTATCAATTTATCCGAAAGTAAGCAAACAATAGTTATTTGGTAAATACCAGTAAACCATCACTTAAGACAATAAAACAACACAGAACAGCTTCTGAGTGGGGCCGTGAGGTTGGATTTCCGACTACCTGATGACTGCTATAATAATCAGAAGGATTCCAGCGCAGTTCATCCAAATGCCGTAAAATATTGTCAAGGAAACGACTGAAGCGGCCTAGGAATCCTCTAACCTCGAACCGAACTACGAAGATGGCACAAAATTTGCCCAGTTTTGAAAGGCACACTTGAATGAGGAGATAACCAAGCAGTGAAAATAAAACTCAGTTTGGTTCGACTAGTCCACCATAACAGTCGATATGAAGGGAGCCTAGTGGATCTCGGGACCAGGTTGGGCTTCTGGTGTAACTTGCCAAAAGGTGAATCAGTCATCCTCTCACACATATAAAATCAAACTAGTAGCACTCTGGCCAGTCGACCGACTTCCACGTGAAGGGTGGAAGAGAGCCAGAGGCGGTCAAACAATGACTTGGCAGCGAACTATAAAGACCATTACCAGCAAACTCAGCTGCGCTGGTCATTGCCGTCTTCCTGAATGGGGACCCCGAGACGGGCCATATCAATGGCTAGAGACATTGTCAGACATGGCCCAGTCGCGCCCTCAATGGCGCTCATGCATCCAAGCTATTGCTTTTAATGCATAGCTCCCTTCACAATCCCTCCAATTAACAGCCCATTCACAGTGCTGTATTTACGCACTAATTTATCAGCTTCCGCCTCCAATACGTAGCTACCTACCTCACCTCCCCGAATCATCAGTGAACTAAGCTGTGGTAGCTACGACCACTGTACGACAAATACGCGGTTATTACAGCTGACAATGATGATGAACTGCAAATAAAGATCGGAACTGAACCTATCTAAATTGACTGAAAAATATGACGCGGTTACTAACTTAGATGCATGCATAATCTCCTCAGCCGACTTGGAAAGGCGCAAGCAGCGGACCAACGCGTTTGAATCAATGCTTGTGTAGTATGGGACGGTCAGTCGGAGTTTGACAGAAGAGTTGCCAAATTCTCCTTGAGGAACCTCTGCGGCTGAAGCCGGCTTCCAAGGCTCGCCAGCCATGGCGGATTGTGAAGCACCAACATCTGCACCCATGACCGAGGGGCAGCCTAGTTGCCGACCCAGCTCTATGGCATAGTATCGTGTGCGGAGTTCATTTGGGTTGGAAACGGCCCAGGGTGATAAATCTGAGCCAGACATAAGCACCACGCGCTGAAATAAGTCTGTATGAGAAAGACAGGAAATACTGTTAGGAAGGGTTCCCGTCATATAGGGCGTGCATTGTTAACGAAACAGAAGCTTACCTAAACCTCTGCTGGAGGGAGACACAGTATGCAAGCCAACGCTCGCTCCGCCGGCACCCTCACCCATGAGCGTGATTTGGTCAGGGTTCCCACGGAACCAAGCGATGTTGTCCTTAACCCACCGCATGGCAAGTAATTGATCCCAGAGACCGAAGTTGCCAATGGATGCAAAATCACCAGTGGCAAGAAAGCCTAGAAGTCGTGTGCAAAACACAGGCGGATGAATATAATGATGGTTAGCTGAGTAGCATAGTTAAGTGCAGCGAACGTACTTGAGTAAAATATCTTTTGATCACGGATGGAACAACGGCTCTTTCAGCAAAATGATTCAATCCATGTGTGTACTATTTTGAGTGGGAAAATACAACAAACAAACTGGACTGGGTTAAACGGCTTGCTTTTCAGAGGGATTGACTACTCGGTAACACTCTCTTAACAGATGACACATCGTCCACTAAGGACAGACGAGTGTGCACCGAACGTGTCCTTGAAGCAACTTCTTCGTTTGATCTCACGCCGATGGCTTCTGTCAATGCAAGCTGCCTGACAAGATTCCTACGGTAACGACACATGAACCACGGAAATTAGGCTCAAAGATGGAGACAGTAGCATCTCAGGATTCACAGGGGACCATCCGCACAGCTTCTGATCAACATTACTCCGACCCTACAATAACCTTAGGAAAGAACGAATTCCGTTACATTCGACAGGTGACTGGGTTGCTGAGAAACTGTGCCGGCCTTTTCTTCATCGGCCACGTCATCCACAACAGTTACTTTTGGAGAGTTTATTCAAAAAAGTGGACATCTAAATATTGGATGTTTGTAACTAGTGTTAGCTGAAGAACAGATAGATGAGACTGGAAGTGAGCACGAAACTACATGCTTCAAGGTCCCAGTGCGCATGCCTGTCTTGCTGCCCTTAGACACAATAATGGCTATGAGGCACTGTCTTCATTGAACTGTTCGGATCATCATCATAAATGACGAAAAACCTTGCAATCCGTTCATGGCCAGGGGCGCTTCGGGCTGCACGGCGCACTGGAAGGAAACCCCAAGAGTACAATTTGGTTATATTAACTTGAAATAACTCTATCAACCTTTATCCCCTTCGGGAAGAACAAGTCTGACTCAGAGAACTAGAATTTTCACTAGCAACATGGCGATCAGTTAGTCCGTTTATCATGTGTGAAACATGCGCTGAAGTTACGCTGCTTCCAGCTCCTACAATTTCGGTCAACCGAAAATGGGAGAGCGAAATAAAGCATATCGAAACATTGGAGACGACGGGATTATCAGTTAGCTGGTGTTGAATTAGCTTAATTATTTGAAAGAACGGGATACTGTGCAGTCACGCGCTGAAGCCGACAGCTTTGATGCAACAGCACCAATAATGTGTGATTGACCCAGCGTCTATTACCACTGATGAGCTGTTTCGCGAAGTTCAAATTCGGAGAAGCGGTACTTGCCAAACCGAGTTTACCAGATCGTTGCCAGGTCGTAGATTACCCGTCCATGGGTCGTTTCCACCCAACACACGGCTGAACAAAAGGATTTCTCTAAGATAGACGGCTCTCTGACACACGAAGCACATGCCCTAACCAGCGTAAACTGTGAAGCGAGAGTAGCCCAATAATTGCGGAAGGACCTGTTCTTTCCAAAGCTATCTAGTGTACCCTGACATTACTAATCTGATGTTCCCATACAACCTGAGCATACTTCAAAGATAACGATGGTCGAACTCTCCGTTTCTCATCCATAAAGCAGACGGAATCGCGCCGTCTTGGAATATAACCTGCCCTTGACGGGCGAACCAACATCACGTTGGCATCATGGGTGTTGTAGGTCAGTCAGTTCAGCCAGTTTTTCCGCAAACTATGTATTAAAGTGTTGTGGTTTCAGCTCCTACGGCTAGGGCGAGGGAATGAGAGTCACGCGTTAGACACGACGGCCCAACCAATTCATTGACTTTGAATAATTGTTAATCCAGTGTGGAAGTGTGGCAGAGCTATGCAGTGAAGGCAACAGCTTTAATACAAGACCAAGTCATGGATTACACGCCCTGGGTTATCTCCACCACGTACATGGCTGGGCGAGGAGGGCCCTGCGAAGCGTTTGAGGTTAGCAGAAGCTGTCTTGACCTTCTAGATTCCAATAATGATCTCGTTTTCAGCCACTCAACTACCCACATTAATATGTTTGTTTTGCATGTCGATTGGCTGGTCAGCGAAAATAAACGTCGGGACTGATCCCGCCTAGTCTTGCAGTGGCACTTTGAACCTCAAAGGTACCAGGAGCATTCCGAACTGTGGCAGAATTATTTATATTATTTCACACGATCTGCATCCTTAAGGGATCCGAAGCAAGGAGAGCAGGCACTTTGTCCACCGATAGCATTAGCAATCGGTTGCCATGAGGCAAGCGATGAAAGATAATCGTGCTCGTCTTAGCCAACGCAAGCTTTCTGTCATCAACAAAATAATTTGGCTAAGCAGTACTAGAAGCTAATAACAGAAAGAAAACAGCTTAGTTTGGTGGGGGCGATGTGGATAGTGAGCACGGTATGCATCATTTCGGATCAAGAAAAAAACCGGATTCCATTGTGTGGCACACGGATTACGGGAAACTTAGCCGTCACTTGTTCAAGAGCAGCGAGTCGGTGAGTAGAATTCACGCACAAAACACACTTTTAACACATGAGTAGTTCACGCTGTTATCGGGGACTGTTACCTAACAGTAAAAGGGACGAAACTTAGATGCTATGAAAAGTACGTGCAATACACGTGGAATCCAGTTCACGTCACGCCCATGAGGCACTTGTTGGACGCTGTGGCAAGGTCGCATGAAAATAGCATACTCAGAAGCGCCTCAGCACAGTGTAACATCTGTTAGTAGTGATCAAAAGGAGTCTTCCTCCCAGATATCACTGTATAAAAAGTAATTAAAGCACACATTGAAGTAAAATGATTCCAGCATAGCAAATCCGTCATCAGAAACTGGACTTACCGAAAGGTCCTAACCGATAATTGAATGTGACCACAACAACTCCTTTAGAGGCAAGCACATGTCCCGGACACATGTGACTGGAGCCATAGACAAACCTTCCACCGTGTATGTGTACAACAACGGGATAGCGAATTTTTGGGTCCTCCCAAGTGCGCTGATAAGTAAACAGTGTTGAAAATCACCTTTCAATAAAATCTCGATCAATAGCGCAGCAGACGAAATTATAATGCGAGTATTGAATAGAAAACACAATAAAGGTACCATACACGGTCTGTGCTCACAATAACTCTGGCATCACTCTCCCGATGCCACAGAACCGAATCGAAATGGTGCGAGGAGTTTAGCAGTATACGTAACCTGAAATCATACCCCAGTAGGATGGCCCACGAGGACCGCGAACACTTGCAAACATGGAAGTTCTCGGATATCCCAATTTCCAAATGTTCACCAGCCACTATACGGAACTGAGTTAGACAGCATCTAAATGGGAACTAATAACGGCTCAGCCAGACAGCCCGAGAGCGTCTAATAGACACCAACCACGACAGAACCGCGCCCAGTGGGTCGAAAACTTCGGAGCGGACTCAATTTCTTGTATGAGTACAGATTAGACGATGCAAGGTTACAGGAAGCAATTATGCACAATGTGTATCTAACCAGGAATTGAATTGACCAAAGGTTGTACCTGAATGGGAGTACCTAAATAGGAGTTGATCCGATTTGTCCATGTGATAATAATCGACGTCACTGAACGTGCCACTGAAAGTATGTGCACTAGTTACTCCCAGATGAGATTATGGACAAATTTACTCAATCTGGCTACACATCATCCAGTGGTTTTTGATATTCCACGTGAATGAATCATTTCAATGAAATTATGAGGGGTAGATATATTGGTGATGGTGAGTAATTCATGGATTGATAACGTTTGAAGTGATGAGATCAGATACTGAACAGTCTGAACCAGAATGTGCCCACGAAACTGTCTGACACATTACTAATGTGAAAGGCCTTCTTCGACTGAATGATGAAGAATGATGAATGATGAAGAATGATGAAGAACCAAGCGTGTCATCACACCACGTACTAGTGTGAAAGGCCTTCTTCGACTGAACTCATCACAGTGAACAGTAATAGGCCAGCAGAAAAAGCTGGCGATAAACAAGTATGCCAGCGATAAAAAGAAAGTCTTACACACCTGGAACAAACGTTCAAGAGAGCAATTTCAGGCAATGAAGTAAAGAAATCTAAACGTTAGCATACCTGTTTGGTTTTGACGGGATGCTCATCTGGAACCCATCTTATAAAAGAGAGTCTCAGTTGGGTTCCCGTCAAAACCAAAATGGTTTGCAAATTCGTGCAATTTGGTTTCCAAAAGAACATAAGGTTGACAGAAACTCGGGGACTGCGCTTAGCTGATAAGCTCGAGGAAGGGCGAAACCGGTCGTGGGTTATCAAAGAGTTTTTAGCAACCTCATGAGTAGTGTATTACGCCGATAAATTTAAACGTTCTTCTGATTAAGATGCTATCAGAGAAATTTATCGACCTTCCTTTCCAACGTATACCTAGCGGATGATAGGCGAGCTGTAGCTAGAAAGCAAAAGCGTGCTCGTCACTGGGACCTACTGTGCACCGTGACATATTGCAGGAATCAAATGGAATGCGGAAATCACAGGGTAAAGATCCTATGGCATCTAATTTGGAAGTGGTAGCTTTCATTTCATATTCCTACGCAACTGACAGCTTCCCCAAAGGAGGGTTTGGTGTCGAAAAGGCGAATTCCTCGGTGGTTGAGCGTGTATAGTAATGTCCAAAATGTTATCAAAACAGGATCACTTATCATGAAGGAAACTAATCACTGGGTTGCCTAAATCCCTTCGAAAGCAACCTTATGAACAGTTTCCTCCATGAAAAATATACTGCGACATAAATAATATCGTACCAACTGAAACATGAGGTAGCCTCCATAAAGCACATTCAGTTGTCATAAACGAGAGATTCAGCTGGGGTTCAGAGGGGCCCTCGTGAAAACCAGATTAGCATCCAAATGTGTGTATTTGTCGAACAGGTTTCATTTGTTATTCCCGCCATTCTGGCTTACTATGCATTACTGCCTCATTCAACGGTTTGTCGCTCACACACTGCAGCTAGATGACGTATGCCGTACTATGAAGATAATGCTGATCAAAGTGTTTGACGGAATCCAAAGCTTTTCTGAATAGAACCAAATTAGTAACCACGAAGAGCATTCCCATAGTTGCCATTTACGCATGACCCTATATATTCGGTGAAATTCGCTGCAGACTCAACAAATGAGGCAATGTGGAGGATATCGCTCATGCATTCATAATTCGTGCAAAAGCTCTAGCACCTGGCATCGTACTCGTTTGGCAAGGAAGGATTTTTTGCTTCAAGGTGTCCAGATGTTGCTCCTCCTCTTATTGAAGCGTGTGCAGGGACAATGATTAAGGGGGACGTAATTAGCGAATATACACTCATTTGCAAACTAATTTGGTTTTGTGAGAGACTCACCTGGAACTCAGCTGAATCTCTCGGTTTCGATGTTTCCAGGCAATTGAATGTGCTGCACCAGGCCACCTCATGTTTCAGTCACTACGATATCGCGATACACAGTTATTTTTGTAATGCACTACTCATAAGGTCGAGGAGTTTTCAGCAACCTTATGAGTAGTGCATTACAACAAAAAGGAGACGTAACCTTACAGCTTACTCATAGTGCGACCAATAGTTAACTCTCATTGATGTGCCTAAAGTTAAAATAAAGTAACCGCATTAAAACGGAACTTGGAAGCATGCTTACCTGTTGAGCTCCGATTTAACCAGCAGAAGGAACACCCCACTTGAAAGTTTTGTTTTGTAAACAATCGGCCCAACTGATCATATTACAAAGTAATAATAATAATAATAATAATATGTCAGCTGTAACACCCTTTCGGTGTCTAAGAGTCATGCTACCCAAGGGAAGCACGAGAGCTGACATACTATCAGGTTGCCCTAACCCGGACAAGAGCAGTCAAGATGGCCTTCCAGTCAGTTAACTCGCTGCCTGACCACTGAGCCATCTTGAGCTGGGTTACGATGTTCGTAGAGCTTGAAGGCAGATGAAGAACCAATCAACAAGACTTAACCCAATCAACAGGCCGAATCAGTGTGAATTGTCGGCGATCAGCCACTGTGGTGTGAATAGTAGTCTCCGTCTTTTCCATATTTAATATAAACCTGTATGATCGTTGGCTTGTTCGCTGAGCTGAGCAATTTGATTGCAAACGTTTCATCATCGGTGACATCATCAGTGCGTTATTGGGAAGCGTAGTGGTGCGTAGCGGTGGGTTGGTGGTTGTGCCTGTATACAGCATACGCTTTTCTGTCGCCAAGTACTTTGCTATAGCCAAACGTGATGTCAACAACCCCAGTAATCTGAACTATCACATCAAGTTTAGCATGGAGAAATGGTCCACTTTGGGTACACCACTTCCTACACTGTATGATGCATTGGAAATTAACGGTTGTCCACCATAAACCAACAAACAGGTGCTGTTCTAAACCACTCTACACATCCAAAGAGGATGTACGATACTACTGCCTGATTTATGTTTAGTCGAATCGGGCGTTGTGCACAGACGATACCATCCGAGCAGCAGCTAAATTTGAGGTTAAAAAACCGGCTTCAGAAAAGTGGATATCCGAGTGATAGTTAAAGGTATCGGCACCAACATCGAAACCCAATGAGGAATAGATTAGCACAAAAAACACTCCATATAAAGGAGCATCTGAGGTTATTCCAAGGACACAGAATACAGTCAACGTTAGAGTAGCGCTCTAAAAGAGACAAATGCTATGCTCGGTATTCGTACAACTAAAGAATCATCTCGCGATTGAAGTAAATAAATTGTGTATGAAATTCAACTCAACGGCCGCACTGAGATCCAATAAACAATTACGGCTCAGTTGTAGCAGTATTCTAGCACCTAGCTTCCATGTCACCCTAAGCACGAGGGAGGGCCGAGATACTGTCAGGATCCTCGAACCTAGGCAGGAACAGTCAAGATGTAGACAATAAACCGCCAGAGAGCTCGATAAATGAATCAAGCAGCACAATAGGCAAATAAACAAGCCATTTACAAATGTGCAGGAATATCAGGCTCTATCAAATACTCAGCGATGGTGGGGTACATGCTGGACACAAGACAAAATAGACATGAGAAATGAGGAAATTTGTAAGCCGGGGACCGCGACTCATGACACAATGGCTGATGGCCGATGGGATGGAAGTCGCTGGACAGCATGGAGATCATCATCATGATCATCATCATCATCATCATCATCATCATCGACAGCATGACATCAGTGTTCAACACCAATGCTTCACTGCCGTACAACCACGACTTATTTGAAAGCCTTATTGTAAAGAAAAGAATAAGGGTGGACGGGGAAGGGACTTAGTGCTA